TGGCGTCTCCTCGTCGTCCACCTTCTTTTTGCGGTAGTAGTTGATGACACGGTTTCCCATGCCAAAGTTGGAGAGAACCGGAGGTGTCCTCTCGCAGTACTCGAAGAGCACGGCTGTAGAGTTGTCCGTGATGCCCAAATCTTTGGTTGTTTTGAAGACTTCGTGTGCTTTGCCCTTCATCGTTTTACGCTTGTGGAAACCTAGCTTGCTGAATCTGATGGTCTGCCGTTCGTGCTTGCCGAACTTGAATTGAGGTCGATGGAATCCATCTCTGCGAATGTCCAGCTTGACCTTGTAGAAGGGCCATGCAAGTTTGAGAGCCGGCATACTGTGCTCAACGGCAAGGTTGCCCAGGGTCGCTCTAACCTTGTGCTGGTGATTCTCTTTCAGCGCCTCGTACGCGTCGTCGTTGGACATATTAAAGCGAGAGGACAAGTCAGGTCTCATGTGCCCGTTAGCCATGCGCGTCATCTTATGCTCAACGCGCTGACGCTTGGGGCCACGCTGTGATTCGGCTTCTTCCAAGATTAGGTAGGGGTCGTTCAGGTCGAGAATGACGCGCTTGGATGCACGTTTGGTCACATCCTCGAAGGAGTCGAAGGAGGGTGCGGTGAACCGCGGAATCTCGGGCAGACCCTTTGGCGGCGGAGGACGCGTCTTCTTCCGTGGTGGCGGTTTTACTTCTTCATCCTCAAGGAACTCAGCCTCCCAGTCAAAGTCGAAAGCATCGTCGTGGGCGCGCTTGATGGATGCAGCTGTTGCCGCCTCGGCCGCTGCTGCTTTCGCCTTCTGGTCACTGAAATCTTGCTCGGCCTGCTCGATGCGAATGGACCAGTCATCGCACACCATCTCGATGTCCTGGAGTGTGAATCCCGCAACAGCCTCCGAGTCAGAGTCCTGCTCGAGGTTGAATTCTTCTGCTTCGGCCTCATCCGAGGATTCCTGCAACGCGCATGTCACGAGCCCTTTGGAGTCGTCGTCAATCCGTCGCTGCTTCCGGGTCACGGTTGCGGGTCCAGGAATGCGGAAAAGCTTTTCTTGGTCGGCAGCGAGATCCAATGTGAGTTTGGAGAACATGAGGGTCTTGGGCTTCTTGGAAGGCTTCTTCTCGATCCACCGAGCCTTCTTGGGAGGCAGGAGTTCGTTCCATTTCAGTATGACACCCTTCTGCCAAGTCGGCCAGGCTTGCTTGACCAGGTCTTCGGCAGTCTCTGCAGGCGCGGGGATCTCAGGATCCTGGTTAGCAGCCTCATATCCGGGCTCGGGGTCGAAGTTGATGTCTCGGTATTGGGACGCATCCGTATCATCGAGATCGTGAACGTGAGGGGCCGGCGATGGCGGACCAGGCGCCTCGATCGGGGAGGAAGGGCCATCGCCAAACAGGTCGTCGGTGTCGTTACTCGTACCTCCGTCGTCGGTAAGGCCTGGAACGGACAAGGAAGTGGCGACGTTGCCTTCCTCTTCATCCGGGAGATCATCGTCGCTGATATCTTCAAAGTCCTGGGCGTCGTCTGCTTTACCAGATTGATCGAATGGCGTGTCATCGAGAGTAATACCTAGGTCACCACCATTTTGGAGCTGACTCAAGGTTCGCTCTATCTGCTCGTCGTCCTGGGCGTCCTGGGTCTTTTGAGCAAGCTCGCTAAGGGGTGGGGACTTGGGAGTTTCGGCGCCCATATTGTCGATGTTTTGCACGAATACCGCCCCTCTGGCACCTCCGATATTGTGCGCCGACCGTTTCCAGATCTATACCATGCCTTGAGTTGTCGTTGGCGATGCGGCGGGGACTGTGCTCGTTTGGTGGAAGCTCGTGAAGTCGATGGGGCGACGCGTCGCTCGGCTCTGGGGGAAGCAGGAGGGAAAGTTCACGTAGAGCCGCAGAAATTTGGGTGACTCCGGTGCGATTCCTGCATGGGTGCCTGAGGCATAAGGTGTCAGCCAATCAGTCTGTGTTGGAAGAAGGCAGCCATGTTTCGTGGTCCGTGCCTGCCCGTTTTACCCCGGTCGAGGCTGCTGGGGCTGTTTCTGCCATACCTAAATTCAACAGCGAGCTGAGGTAGGTAGGCCCCGCCTGCCCCTTACTGAATATGAGGGTGAATGTGGTATGGCGATAATTGGCAGACTAGCGTTAGAAGAATGTTGTCGTTGATGGGCGTCGATGTGAGTGAAAGCATATATTGATTGATACTCGGTTGACACCGTGGTGGCGAAAGTGATATGTGTTGAAAAATGACAGTTTGGTTGGCTGGCTACCTAACTTGAGAGGGTCTTGGGCCGTCACGAACTGTGCTGAGGGTTGCTCGCTTTTGAAGTAGAAACGTGTGAGGTCAAGAGGTATGAGGTGGTGGAGAAGCGTGGAAGAGGGAAAGTGGGTGGGTCTTGTCCCCCTACGCAACTAAGCGAAGCAATTAGTCGCTGCCTTCGAGAATAGAAAGAACGGGAAACAAACTTCACGTTTGCGCCCATGGAAATCAGAAGGGCAAAGGACAAGAAAAAATGGGGGCACGAAGACAATAAACTTTGTAAGCCATCCGCCTATCCGGGTGAGAAGCGTAGTGTAAGACAGTCAGTGAGTGGTAAAGGATCGGTTTCTGGTCGCAATTAGCAAACGATTGTAGAACCACAGGCGACGAAGAGCTTATCAGAACCAGAGCGAGACATTTCATGCTCCCGAACTGAAAACTGCTGATACTCAAAGCAAGAGTATCATATTTTTAATTAGAAGGCTGTCCTTGCCATGCCTAAGGTGGTCGGTAAAGTGCTGACCATCGCCAGGGTGTGGCATACACGATTGATTGTGCTCTAAGACGAGGTTTCTTGCTTCCTGTGCGATTGCCCTCATTGCTGCTTCGGCATAATCTTCCAATCATGTTGGCTTATCTTCTTTTGCTTTTGCATGAGTAGTCCAGGCAGTGACAACGGGTCAGCGTGTCTCTCCTATCTAGGAGAAGGGCCAGAAGTCTCTACAGTGGTGACTGATCACAGCCCAGCTAGTTTGACACTTTTGTGTATTCCGTAGAAGTTATCTAGTACCATCCAAGGGACGCTTGCATACACGTACAGCTGGCACCCCACAACGGTTTCGGTGTGTGTAATCTTTTGACTCCCTCCCTCTCTGATTATCAGAAAAAGCCTTTTTTGCAAACTCCGTACGCCTTTTCTTTAGCAACGCGTAAACGCGGATGATGACCCTCCCGCCATACTCCTGCTTCCCGTGTCCAACGTAATCTTCTCTCCACCACCACCGTATTTACTTGCAACGCTTCTCGACGATGCTGACACCGTTCTCCTCGTACTCCTTGCGCGAGATCCACATCTGGTGGAAGGTACCCAAACTGGCTAGGATGCTGCCACCGATCCAAGCACCGAACCGGCGCTCGCTGGAGAGACCAGCGGCGTGGATCTTGATCTTTAGGCCGGGGTACATGGCCGTCAGCTCGTTGTTCAGGCGGTCGTTAAAGCCGTTAAGCAAGCTAGTGCTGCCGGTGACGACAATGTTACCGAGAAGATTGGGGCGCAAGTCGACATCGACGGCGTTCAGGGCAGCGCGGATCAGCTCGGGGATTGTCTGAGACTTATTCAGGCGGAACTCCTCGCTGTTGGCAGGGAACGCTGCCGTCTCATCCCACATGCCTTCCGAGACCTTGTATCGCTGTTCACGCCACATCTGGTTGGCACCGTTGGGGAACTCGAAAACGCGGCCGGGCTGTGTCTTGGCGAAGTCCTCGTTCTGAGGCATAGAGTACTTACCAGGTCCACGCCAAGTCTCTACCACCGACTCCTTGAACTCGGTGATGAGACGCTCGTCCTCGTAGGCGCGGAAGGAATCGGTGATGGAGAAGCCGAATTGGCGCTGCTTAAACTGGGGAGGTGCGCCAGCGTCGACGGGGGTCTTGTTCTCAACCATGAACGTAGGGATGGGATCGATCTTGGGCTCCGAGGTCTCCCAGAGGCTGCGGATCTGAGAGGACAGCCACAGGCCGCCAACAGGAGACTTCTGAATGGATCGCTTAAGGACCATGCCGTCGTGAATCGCTGTGACAGACGTGTTGGAGCCGCCGACGTCGATGACGAGAGCGCTAGCCTTGCCGGCGGCGAAAGCAGCCAGTACAGGCGTTCGGCTGAGCCAGAAAGCAGGGCAGCCCCAGTTCTCCATGATGATCTCGATGGCCTTCTCTCTGGACTTGGCGTTGTTCCAGGGCGCCTCGGTCATCAGAAGCGGGTTCTCTTGCAGAGCCTTCTCCTGTGTCTCGACGTCCTCCATGGCGATGTCAATGTCCCCGTTGGCCGTGCCTTCCACTTCCTCTTTAGGATCATCGTTGAGGCCATTCTTGGACGGGGGAGTTGGGCGAGCGGGCTGGAGGCGCGTGATGAGCATATGCTCCCAGAGCTTGTTGGCAACATCCCAGTCTTCGACGACGCTGTCGCGTGACATGTAGTTGCGAACCTCGAGGTCGGCGCGGGGAATCAGGCACTCGTCGCCGAAGACGGTGGTTGGGGCATTGGAGGAGCCGACGCGGCCGTAGAAGGACGGGAAGACGGACTTGGGGACATCTTCGCCTGCAAAGCCAGCGCGCGTGGTGCAGTAGCCTGGGTCGAGAACTAGGGCGGAAACCTCGTCTGTTTGCAATCGTTAGATTGGGTGACGCGCATCGTGGAGCGGGAATGACCTTATTACCTCCTCCGTAAATGTCGGTCGGCTGGAGCGACGATGACAGCGGTTGTTGAGACATTTTTTTTTATAATTTTTTGGACTTATAGATATGATGCGACAATCCACCGAGATGATTGGGATGGTTCGAAGGCGGTGTGGTGGGTTGTTGCGATGCTGCGTCCAGTTGAAGATCGCGTCTTGACAGAATTTGGCGCGGTGGTTGGCCGAAGGTGCAAGGCTGAGTCTCCAGCCACAGCCCCACCGTGCCGTAGCGCGACACACTGTACAAGCTCTCGGTGTGAGCTTGTTCACCGAGACACAGCTGTTCGCAATTGCATGTTGCGTTCTCCAACATTTTGAACCGATGTTTATGAAACCCTCGAGACGACCTTACTTATGCTTTAGGGTTTTACGGAGGAAGCTTTTCTATCACATTGATTCCCCCCCCCATTTAACATACATTTGAAGGGCGCAGTATACTTATGCGAAGCTGCATAAGGGGGTATCTCATATAATTCCAAAATTCGTCAACTCTGGGTAATTTGCCAAAGCCCAAATGTCATGTTACAATATAGTCAATTTCCGACTCGAAATCCCGCCCTTCTCCGTAGAGCACTTCGCAAGCACCAGCCAGTGGAATGTCCATCACTGCGTCCGTCCCCTCATTCCATATATTCTTCCAATTGTACCCTCCCCCGGGAAGCCGGTTATCCCTCTTGTCCCTCGACCTCCTCTTTGGTCCGTCCCTGAGCCGCCCTTTGCTATCAATCACCCCCACTTTAGAAGCGTCATCGACGACTGTCTCGATGGAGCTCAGTGGCAGCGTCAAGATCTCTGTATTGTACGCCGCGAGCGCGATATAGATGTACACGCCTAGCATCGTCAGGAAGGCTGGGATCGCGAGCGACCACCACCGGTTCGGGTAGTATTCGATGCCCAATGCGTGCAGGAAGGGAGAAGGGAGGTATGACCACAGCAAGTAGACGAGGAAGGTCAAGGTCGAGAAAAGGTACAGCACGAAGCCATAGTATTCGTAGGTTGGTACCTGCGGCGATGCGCGGGGGAGGGGCTCGAAGTCGTCATCTGAGGCATCAGGGGTCGTAGGTCGCGAAGGTCGGAGGAGCGACGTCAGTGACGGCGACGGCGGTAGAGGGGTTGGCGGGCGGCCATAGAAGGGGGGTGCGAAGTAGTTATGATGCAAGGGTCGCGGGGGCAGCTCCTCGCCGTCGCTACCAGACCCAGACGCAATGGATTCGTCGTCGGAGAGAACTAGGTCTTCCTCGTCTGATGATAGTGACATTTTGGGCTGGACGCCCGAGCTGTCGGAGCTCTGCTGTCGATGTTGGGGCAGTTTGGACGTGGTGTTGCGGGTGGCAGAATTGCGATATCCCAGGCTGGCTCCAGTTGCAATCTAGAATCGACCCCCCTCGGTTCCACGTGTGCCCGGGATGTGGACGGCGTAGTGGGGCCGCATATGTGTATGGCTTGGCGATGATTACATAACTTGGGTATTTTAACCTTCCTGTTGTCAACGGCCATGCTCCTTATCTTCAGTAGTCCCAGAAGACGATTTTCGAGATCTTTATCCAAAAGTCGCTGGTTGTTCTAGCAGTAGTCTTGTCAGACAGCAACAAAATAGGCATCAACAAACATGAGGATGTCTCCACAGTCACTCCCGTTCCATCAACAAGAGTCTTCCGTACGAGGATCGTTTGGTATTAATTTTGTTGCGCCTCTGGTGAAACTATTGTAAGTAACGCGAATTATCAACAGACCGTGGAAAACAACAATACAGTGTCGTTGAGTGATTCTATTCGCCTTGCTTTTTTACTGCACCTCTATAACGCAGTCGAGGTGAGTTTCATACAACATGTCTTGTTCGTGTCAAGCCCGATAGCGCGATATCAAAAAGAGGCAATAATCTAATCGGAACAGTGCACGTACCAAAAATAACAGAATTGAAGCTACTTGTGGCATTATGTAGGTCGTTAAGGATCAGCCTATTAAGCTACTAATGTAACGAATCCAGGGTAGCCCGTTCATCGCTAGATTGTTTACACCGAAGGTTCTGTTGATCAGTGGAGACAAAAAAAGAAAGGGGAAAGAGAAAAGGCTTAAAAAAAGCCATTATATGCAACATATATGCTTTGCAAAGCCATGGGCTGAATGGAAGTCTATTCAGTACTTATATGGGCCAAGTCCACATATATCGGTACCCGTTGACGACCATAGCTCCATCTTTCCTGCTGTTCTCAAGACCGCCGCCCGTCACCTGGAGACCAGCCCTGCTACCCACTTGAGAAGAAATATTAAATCTAATAGCCGGCGCCAGCAGCTCCCCGTCCTCCATTGAGGAACTGGACTTACCAGAGCCCGAGAGCATGTCGGAGCCAGCCTGCATTCGTTCGCGTCAGCTACATCCACTCGAAAGCGGAAACAAACCACCACCAGGAGAAAGACTCACCCCTTCTGTGCCGCGGCTCCTCGATCCAAACCCGGTTCTGCAATTGCTGGCGGATCATCACCGCCTGCGCCCACGCCAACCCAAACCGGGTAGAGTAGTGCATGCTGCACGCCACGACGCCGCACGTCCGGCACCGGAAATAGACAGCCCCGTCCCGTGACCTGCAGAAGATGCACTGCGGCAGCATCGGTCGGTTGTTCATATTCTCGACTTCCCACGACGTGGGGAGGTGGTGGTTGCACTGGGGGTCCTCGGGGTGGATCTCGAAAATGGGCCACGCACGCGCGCCCTCCTGGGGTCTACGACGGTGAGCTCTGGCGTCGGCTCTCCAGTATCGATTCTCGGGCTACAGGTCCTAGTCAGCGGAGTGTCGTCTAGTGGTTTGGGGGGGGGGGGGGGGGGGTGATCGAGTTAACTTCAGCGTTGGACCCGTCTGTATAATACATAACGATGCTATACCGGCCTCGACCCTGTCGATTGCGGCCTTGGCGATTCATATCCTCCATATCTGGCCAGTCCATCACTTGAAATCTCTGCTGGGGCATTGCCTGGAGACGTTCTACAGTCCAATAGTTAGCAGGCGGTTCCCAGACCCTGTCAATGATGGCAGGCGGAAGCTTGACTCATTCAGCTACGATTATTTGGAGCGGGGCGACCTGCTAGACGAACATTCAAGGGAGGTGAGGCTGTTCTTATAAGCCTTGTACACACGCACACGCACTTTCTCTCTGTTCTCTTCTGACTGGGATGGGAGTCACTGACCTGGGGGTATAGGTTCCCACAAACCATCATCCACTTGTGGACGAAACAAGCCGGCTTGCGGTTCCGGTTCCGGTAGCCGTAGTGGTTGAGGTAGAGGCTCAGGCTGAGGCACACCCTCCTGCCGTACAATCGCGGGAAAGTCGTCCGGGTTCTGCCCCTGATGATATCTCCCGTCTCGCTCGCGCACCGGGACGCGGTTTTGCCCCTGCTGTGGATAGAGCCCGCACCCACGAGTACATCGTCCATGCCAAGCGCTGCCGCATTGGAAGCAGAACTCATACCCGCACGGGCACCTGCGGTAATCGGGAAAGAAAGGATACTCGTTAGCGGGCTCGAGGGCGTGGGTTGCGCATGGTATCGACACTTCACTTACGTCATGTGATGGCATCCGGCCGCCAGCTCGATGATCCGGCGACACCGCGGGCAAGGCGAGAGGCTATACGCGTCCATGGCGTCCATCAGCATCTCGTCCTCATCCTCCTCCCGGCACGGCCGCCCAGGATGTATGGCCTGCCTGCACCGTCGACACGTCCCCTCGCCACACGCCGGGCACTCCATTTCATCCTCCCTGACGTGCGGTCCCCGAGGCGGTATAAACGACGCACACGCCGGCCTGGCGCAATACACCCTCTCGTCGCCGGCGGTCTCGTTCTCCGCCCTGATCTGCTCGTACAAGCTCAACAATCCAGGACGATCCCGGTCCGCCTGCTCGATTTGCTCTTGGTGCAGCGGCTCGCAGCACCGCGGAGGCCAGCTCCCCGGCCGCAGGCCCGCCCGGATACAGGCCCGAAGGCACCGCGGGCACATCCAGCAACCGCAGGGGAGGCGGCTCTTGGGCTGTCGGCCACCGGTGCAGACAACGCAGTCAGGCCCTCGGCCATGGCCCCCTTCGGCCTCTGAGGACGCTGCACTGCTGGGCCTGCTTTCGGCGAGGAGGCGGTTGCGTTCTTCCCAGGGGATGTACCGTCTCGGCCTGGGCTCACGGGGGTCGTCGGGATTATCGTCGCTGTTGGGCGATCGTCGGTCTACAGCGATGCTCTGTCGCATGGCGATGGCGAGTTGCATGTCGGGATCGGCCATTTGTAGAGCCAGAGTGGCCGCGCTCTGGACTTCCTCGTCAGTAGCGAAGCGGAGAGTGTCTAGGTTCAGGAGACCAAGGCCTATGACGAGGTTTGCGACGTCATCGTCGAGGCGTTGGAAGAGTTCCATGTTTTTTTTTCCACGTAATTGTTCTCTCAAAACCTTGGCGTATTACCCACTCGCGTTCGAGGCCTCACTATTGTTGAATCCTGCCAAGGTGACAGCTACGGCATGATTTGTCTTTCCGGTGAGTTGAGCGTTGAGCACATTCCACTACCAGATAACACAGATGGTAGGAAGATGCGCAGTAGGAGTGACTGATTGTGAGTGACGAGGTAGAAACGAGCGAGGGTTCCGAATTGCGTGGACGGTAATCGTGCTGGGTATACTGACAGAACCAAGTCAGTGAATTAGTTTACTCGTCATCTGGGCCCGGTCACCGAGGACAAATCCTATGCCGCCCTTTGAGTCCCAGGACCAATACAAAAGATTCTGATTTTACAACGAGTTCAGGTGAAAGCCGTTAAGGTGAAGCCAGCCAATGTTGAAAAGTGTCAGGGTCTTGGCCAATTATATATCTCCAGATTAGCCATCTAATGCAGGAAGCAATAACACACCACCAGGAGTTTATAGCTTGTAGTTTTCTTGGAGTCCAGAGCTGTTTCTAAGTGTATGCTTGCTTCAACAACACATCTACTCAACCGTGTTGGGTAGAGTATGTTCCATGTCAGAGACTGGTGCTGGGGATTCATGGTGTCACGGAAACAGCGAAGGGCACAGATGCAAAGCAAAGCTGGACTAAGTTGAGTCAAATTCGTAGATGACAACGGGGCTACTACGCCCCCTTCCCATCTTCTCAGTTGGCTAAAGCTGCCTTTTCCCCACCGTCTTCTGTTAGGTGTTTAAGCCCGAAGAGGTAGTTTTTGGTAAATCATCGGCTCCTTTGCGCCAAAAACGGTGACTCCGTCGTTAAGACACTGGATTTTGTCGCCAATGTCGACCGTGATTTCTTTCTTCCTTGTCCAAGTGACCGCTGCGATGTGGTGGCATTTCCCATTTCAACTAGTATGACACTCCCCCCCCCCAAAAAAAAACCAAAAACCAACCGCCCGTCAGTGGTTATAAGCAGTAACCCCCCCCCCATAAACTCCGTTCATCATAAACTCCAACGCTGCTATCCGGGATATGATTCGGAACAGGAAAACAAAGAAAAATCAATGAAAGAAGAAGAGTGGTAATGGTAAACAGCACATTTAAAGTAGATGATGGGTATAATGATCAATAGCTGAAGTCCACATTGCCCATTTGGGACAGCATCTTCGCTTCTGCTGAAGTCGAGTTCTCGGTAGCGCCCGTGTTTGTCGATGTTGCCGAATTCGAGTTTGTTTGTGATGATTGTGTGGTTTGCGTGGTTGAGTTGGTCTGCGTCTGCTGCAGTTCATGTTCTGGAGGAGGTTGACCGCTTGGTGACCAGCCCTCGTCTAGTATTTGTTGGAAACTCCAACTTGGTTCGAACCTGGTGCTGTTCCAGGCGTAGTCGACACGTTCGTACATTTCGTCAATCTGCTCCAGACTGATCTTACTGGTCTCGAAGACCATGCACCACACAAAAAGAACAGCCAATATACAAAAGGCACCCCAGAGGAAGAAGATTTTGGGGCCGATATCGGCCGAACCGGCCCCTTGTCCAACCATGAACGGTGTGCCATATGCGATGCCGAAGTTCAGCAGCCAGTTCGAGGCGGTTGATATCGAGTTGGCCTTGGCACGGACCTTCAGAGGATATATCTCGGACGTGATGACCCAGCACACGGGTCCCCATGATGCTGCGAAGAAGAATATGTTGACGGCGCAGAAGACGATGAGTATCGTCTGGGCGGCCTGCTGCAGGTTCTCTCCGGCTGCCGTGGTAAAGGAGGCAATGAGAAGCTGGCAAACCGCCATGCCCATGGCGCCGACCATGAGAAGCTTGCGCCGACCCCAGGATTCAATGACGAGGAGACCCGGGACAGTCGAAACGACATTGATGATGTTAATAATGAGGGCCTTAAGATAAGGGTTCTCGACCTTGGCGCCATCGAAGAAGGATGTGCTGTAGTACATGATGAAGTTGATACCTGTGAGTTGCTGCAGCATCTGCAGGCAGCAACCCGTAAGAGTTCGTCGGCCGAGATGGGGAGACCCATAAAAGATTTCCTTGTAGGAGTCTGGGCCAAGCGTGAGTTCATATTCGTGGTTGGCAACAATTTCCTGAAGCTCTTCGAGCAGAGCGGGGTGCGTAATGTCGAGACGCCGAAGGCGACTGAGGGAAAGACCTGCTGCCTCCGGCTTGCCCTGCTTGACGAGAAAGCGTGGTGTCTCGGGAAGAATGAGAAGGCCGATGGAGAGAACGACAGCCCACACTAGCTGAAGGCCGAGTGGTACCCGGTATGCGGCGGCGGTATCCAACTTCTCGGTCAAGATGTTGACAAAGGATGCAGACAATAGACCTATCGTGATGGAAAGCTGATAGGCACATACGAGAGTACCTCGAATCCACTTCGGGGCCATTTCTGACTGGTAGACGGGCACGAGCACCGAGATGGAACCAACTCCGACGCCAGCAAAAAACCTGCATATTTTCATCAGCAACGCGCTCCACGGCAGATGGACAATGGTTTGTTTCCCCCAGCATACCTTCCAACTAAGAGCATTGGGATATCGTGCGCGCAGACTTGGAAAATGCCGCCAAAGCTGAAGACGCCGACGGACAGGATAAGCGAGATGCGACGGCCCCAGGTATCACCGATGGGCGCGGCCAAAAGGGCGCCGAGTACGGTACCGGCGCTCAGGATCGCAACGATGATAGAAGATTCGGCGGGCGAAATGGTGGGCAGGCCGTTCTCGGTGTAGCCGGTCGTGAAGTCTCGTCGGAAAGCAGTCATGGAGATGATGCCGTTGATTGTTCTAAAGCGCATCGCGAATCAGCCTCATAGATTCGACACTAAGTCCCACGAGGAGCGGCCATGGCGTGGCTCGCATTTCTCTTGTTCCTCGGAGCACACAGTCACGAATCGGGGTTCGTGGGGGCTGCTTACCCAGTGTCGTAGCCAAAGAGCAATCCGCCCGAGGCGACGAACAGGCCGACCATGATAGCCGGGGCCGACGAGCCGGCGACATTGTCGGGCTTCTGCCAGCCCATGGCTATCGCCATGGTGAATGGGACGGTGGACGAAGTCAGTCCAGAAGGTGATCGTGGTGCTACAAGAGGGCGGTTCTCTCAGATGTCGTGGGGAAGTGAGGTCGAAATGGGCCGGCGACCATTTGACTGACAAGCGGCAAGCGAGTTCGAGGTGGTGAATCGACAAAGTGTGGGTAACGATGAACGGATAGGATGGAACAGACGGGCAGATTGGTGTGGAGAAGGAAGCAGGGAGACGGACGGGCGAGGGAAGGAGGAAAGTCGGACGGTCGGGACCCGGCTAGTTTACTTAGGCAGGTCAGTCGGAAGGAAGGGCCAAAGCCACAGCGAACCCAGAACACCACGGAAGCGTGTATGTGTGTGTGTGTGTGTGAGAGAGAGAGAGAGAGAGAGAGAGCCTGCCAGGGGAGCCAGCCCAGAGAGGACGGCACAGAGGGAAAAAGCAGGCTAGCGCGAGTCCGGGGTGTGTGGGACGCGGAGAGGGGAGTGAGAGGGGGGATGAGCCAGTCAGGACGACTAAAGAGGGGTGACAATTGTGGAGATGGGGGCGAAGGCAGCAGAGAGGGTAACCAACATGGAAGACGCTCGGCACTGTGCTGCTTTTGCTGTCAGAAAACCACCTACCTACGCCCCCCTGGAAGAAGAACAGAAGCAGGAGCAGTCGGCAGCAGTAGGAGTAGCAGCCGCAGCAACAGAAGAAGGAGGAAGAGGAGGAAGAAAAGGAACAATGTGGTCACAGGGCGAGGCCAGGCGAGGGGATCTGGATCAGCGCGGTTTTCGCAAGGTGACGGCTGCCTGTCTTACCTGAGTTCAATCATGCAGTGCAGTCCTCTTCTTCAGGCCTCGCTCCTGCGCGGCGAGTACCGACTCTGTATTACTTACCTACTGTACGAGTGCCCCCCCGGGACATGTGGCTGCGGCTATGATTGGCTCATTTCTTTCTCGGGAGCATCTGGTTATGCTCAGCTCGCCAGTCACCTACAGTACCTTCTCTACAACGCTATACTCAATCGAGGCATAGTATATTAGTCTTTGTTCCCTCTTTGAGGTAAAAATGGCGGGAAGGAATGTGCAACCATATAGCACGGACGAGGGCGTTTTGTACTGCGTTGTCGCTGCCAATCCTCTGTTCTGCCGTCTCATGAACAGTCTCTGTGGACGGTAAGTGGAGGTGCTTCGTAAAGGGTTTTAGTACGAGTACAGGTAAAAGGTTGACTGACAACACAGTTGCTCCCTTGTAGCCCGACCTTTGGTTGGGCTGATGAACGAAAGCTTCGGTCGAATGTTTGTTCACTATCCTTGTCCTGCCTGCCCCAGCTGCACGTGGAAGAAACTAACTGTCGGGAATGAGGGGGAGGACACAGACTTGAGGATTGTAATTACAATACAGTTCAGAGACGCAGAAGCACACCTAGGGGTCATCTGGCCTGATCTGACTAGCCTAGTGTGTCCCGAGCGTGAGGAACGCGTCCAAAGTCTACAAATGTCAGGCCAGGCAAGGTACGGACCGGACAGTGCAGCACTGTATGCATCCTGCTGAGTCAATACGCTCCTTCTCATGTACTCGGAGTCGAGTCCTTGGCCTTGGTTCTCTTGTCTTTCACTGGAAGACAATCACGTCGGGACAGGCGAGCCGGCAGACGATTAGCTCGCATTTCCCGGCACTGTAACTAGCGTTGAGCGGTTGAGCTCACCCGTCTTAGTCAAGCCACCAACTGCCCGACCGTCTCATGGCTTCTGCCAAGTTGCAAGATGCAGCAGGTGCTGGGTTAAGGCAAAGTAGGCCGGGTGCATGGTAACCGTGCAGCATGTGGCCCGCAAGCCACAATACCTACCATGAGTGTAAGCAGCAGCAGGCCAAGTCAGTCTTGTAACTTTGGGAGAAGCGTTGCGAGCTACAGTCGCATCTTTGACGGCCTGCTGTGGGATGAACATGGCAAGGCCAAATCGGACGGAGCGTTCGCCCGACACCCTGTGTTTGTCACCTACATGCGTTTTTGCATCACCTGTCAATTTCGATACTATCGACCTCGGCGAAGAGGCGCGGGATGTGAGCATCACGGTGAACCATCCGCACACCTCATGTCGGCGACAGGCGGTCGCAACCTTCGCAACCCACGCAACCATGACTAGGGAATTGCTCTTATTCTGCCAGCACAGTCGTTGAAGTCGGCACACATGGTGTTGGCCCTAGTTGGGGAAACTCAATCAGAGCATGGGAGGGGGCATAAGACACTGTGTTCCCGAGCCGAATTCCAATCACATACCACCAACCCAGCTCGTGGACTTGTGGTAAGGCACAGTGTGACCCCCCCAGTCATCCGACAACAGCCGGGCAGCAGGGGGGGTGGCGGACAAGGAATTGGCAAATGGCCTCCACGAGCGCAGGCATATTGCGGGGAAACTCCGCCTGCCGCCTGCCATAAGCAGACAAGTATCTCAAGGTATACGGAGTACCTAGGTACCTAGGTCATAGCCTGGACCGGCAAGCCGACACTCCTTTTCCAGCCCCAAGGTACGTGGCGCTACTAGCGCTGCCTCTACACTTGCAACACGCCATCGTCTTCTCCTCACCTACACTACATGTTCGGCTGGAAGCAACTTGCAATTTTTTTTTTAAATGACTATTGTTTGACTACCTTTCAGTTCAGCCGATGCTCTGGCTGGCAAGCATCCTTCTTCTGCCGGTTGTATTTCTTGGACTCTGGCCATTCAGAGATCCTCCTTGTCCGAGCCCAGTACTAGTAGTCTGTACAACGCACTCAACTCGCGACCTCACCCAATGACCATGCAGGTGCACGGCACAAACTCTTCTCGCTCCTCCTCCATCACCATTTCTCTCAGCAAAGTTGGTTCGGTTCGGTTCTACCCGTCTCGACGCTACGGTCTCTACAAGTACTGGCACCCGTTATCTCTTGGCTCTGCGGGTTCCTCTTACATGCGGAGGCTGAATCCAAACCTACAGCTGAGACATGCACTTAGACGGCGAGGTGGTGACTTAGGAGCTGTTTGAAGTCACATCCGAGATCCTGCCTGCGTTGGTTTCGGGCGTTCGCCATTCCTGGAAGTATTGCAGTGCCACAGGTCTCGACAACTTTGGGTGCGTAAGTTAGTATCCAATTAGCCCCCCTGCACGATTGTGTATGCCAAGCCTAGCATCGATAGTCGCTGTCCTGAATGAATAAACAAGGCGGGTTTCTTCTCATCACAATGCCGGATGGATTGCGTTGCTGCTTCGTCCAGTGTTTGGACCAATTCTATTCTGAGTACCTCCATCGACCTTGGCTCCTTTGCATGGACTTCCTGAACTTCTGTAGTCCAGGCTCCTATTCCCCGTTAGGAGAATGAGACGTCCTTTAAAGAAGAAGAAAAGTACTCCCAGGGGGACAATAATCATCTTGTGGTAGCCTAGATGTTTTGAAGTGTGGCGCTCAGTCACCTCTGTTTTCATAGGTTGGGTGACTGTCACATTGGACATCTCTAGTATAGGCGGATCCCGCTTGCAGGTAAGCAAGAAGGTGCACCAGATTGCGCCACTGCAAACACTTAACTCTTTTCAATGTATGACTCAAGCATCGATGATTCCTACGGGTGCTCGTCCTGCTGGTAGATGCTGCTTTGCATGAAGGCGAAGGGGGACGGCATCGCATAGGGCGGGCACCTTTTGGCATACCACTGCTTGTCCTAGTATCTCTCGGGCAGGTTGTTTGCTTGTCAGCATACCTACTCACCTCCACCAACTTTGGCTCGTTTTACGTCAGGAGGCGGGGCAAGTAGTCCCGGGCATTGTGTTGCTAGAAGCATGGCGAAGGGCTTCTTGGCCTGGATAGCACTGCAAGGGACAACCCTTCAAGCTGTCCAATACCTGTAGCGGTCGGTCAACTCTCTGTTCGAGGTCGACACGAGGTTATCTCCGGGGTCTAAACGGAGGGCGGAGCGGATACGCGCAACGATGGGCCGGTTCCCACCGATAAGTACTGGCTGTATTATATGGCGTTTGGACGATGATCTGATTTTCGGGATCGGCATGCAGAGATCGACGGCACCGACGTGGGCCGCTGCGCGGAACCTTGAAAGCGAACACCAGGCGAACCTCAGGCCTCTGCACAAACGGACCCTGCATGGAGTGAGAATGGGGGAAAGGTGCCACCAGCCGCCCCGCGGGATTTCTGGGTCGGCTCCGCGTGTGTGTGCACTCCCCTCAGCCCCTTCTCCGCTGTCAGCATTAGCAGAACAGGCGCGCTTGGCGCCCTTCTTTGGCTGCTGGTCGTAGCACCTGGTCGCGGGCCGAGGGACTCATTGGCTAACTGGTGCCGTGATGTGTTTTGAGCTCGTGATCGAGGTTGATTGGTACACTGCGACTGAAGACGACGATGATAGTGGAGGTACGCGCCTTTATGCCTGTGGTGGGCATGGATGGCCGATATGTAAAAGAATGCATATTACTTGTCGACTAGACGTATGGCGTAGTTGCTGGATGACAGCTGCGCCTTCCTGTGCAGCCGATTACATCTCTAGATCTCGCATCTTCCTGAACCTCAGCCCTGTTGCCACAGCACAGCCATGAGCAACCCTTCCTCAGGCGGCCTATACATCGTGAACGTCCTGCAATCGACCGGCATGGGAACCCTCCAGCTGTTCCTGGGGTATGTTGACGGATCGCTCAGGTGTCAAGAGTCCGTTATGCACAGTCATTGTACAGGAAACACTTGAAGCTAGTTAGCCGAACAGGGCACAGCCGACGAGTATTTACCATGAGGCTTTTTATGTGACCCGTAAGGTGTCACAAACGTACAGTTCCGGCGGAGATAGATGCGTTCAGCACCGTCCCCATGGACGGGTGGAGGAAAGGCAGGGGGTGTAGAAGATGTCACTCCTCATCTCAGGGAGCAAGATTGGGGGGGGGGGGTGCCGTTCCGCGATGTGGACATGGTGATATTCGCTGCGCTCCGACCTCGGTTGTCGTGCCCGGCATTGGAGGATACGGGTGTCTGCTTCTGTATGCTCGCTCTCCTTGAGACGGTGATCGTTGCAGCTGGTGGCCAGGGAGTGCACCGATGCTGGCTTCGACGTGGTACTCAAAGAATACATGGACGGAAGTTTGGGTGCTATTCTTGGTTCCGCGGCGGGGGGACCTGAGCCGAGCCTGTCACGATGCAGACCGGTGTACCGTTGGTTTGTTCCAGGTGCAGAGAGCCATGTGGCAGGAAACTGTTCGAGGGTAAGATGCTGTGATTCACCCAGGGGCGGCTTCTGATACACCTTGGCAGGACATCTTATGACCAAGCGTACGCCGGTAACCGCAGAAGGTTTCTATCCCTTATAGGGGGCAGTATTACTTGAGGCGTGGCCGATTTCGTCTACCAAGGTCTCAACGGGTTGATAAGCTTCATGCCGGCTACAGTATATAGCCCTTCGGGGTTTCCCTCTGTATGTCTCCCTCTTCCTGTCTCCCGGCCACTGCCAACGTGGGTTATTTCCCACATATCTTGCTTCTCTCCAGGTAACGAACATTCGCATTCCTAGAAATACATAATGCCACCGAGTCGTGGTCCACTACCGCCTCCCAGAGCTTCTTCCAACAACAACCTGCATCATTCGTGTTAGTTCGACTTTCGACCAGCAAACCATCGGCCATTTACATGCCTACTTATAGAGAGCATCGTTGAGGCCAGTGAGGTTATCAAAGCACATACTGCAGTGCTGGTTCAGTATTCTGGCCATCCCATTTTGACTTCTGCCGTTGAACTCGTTCCGGGGAAGGTGGCACTTGGGTTTCTCCCGAACCTCGCCGACTGGAATAAGCAGTGGACCTTCCCTGTCGGTGATCATAGAGAACGCAATTTGATCAGGATCCCCAACTCGAGTAGTGATGATAGAGCCTCTATGAGAATCTGAAACCACTGCAGTGGTCGTTATCGAAATCTTGATCTCAACGCAGATCGTCGTCGTCGTCTTGGCTAGGGCCCACGTTGCTCCTGGTGTCTGCTTATGTCTCTTTCTAGGCAGCTGTGGACGCCAAGGTGTTTATCAAAGACGAGCCCCTTGCAGCCTTCCATAGGAGACCAGTAAAAATTATTGATGACGTCGAAGAACATCGTCCTGTTCGGGACGAGGCGTCGCTCCATGACGGGGTCGCAGTGTGTCAGGCGGACGCGGTTGAGAGCACTGCAATGAGAGCAAGAATACTGCTTGATGTAGCACATTATCAGCAAAGACCCTAGATTCACCGGTTGAAGTGTCTGGTCCCAGCGTAGAAGTTTGCCTGCAAGTCTAGTGTACTCGGCATAGTTCTTCCCGAAATCAACATACAAACCAAGAGATATGTATAGAGTATCAGATTGTCATCTCCGCAAGTTTACGAGATTGGTAGTGATTGAAAATCTTGCACAATTTTCTATCATACTTCGGGGTACCATAGTAAAGGTTACGCTCGAGATTTCCAAGGAACCTGTAAAAGGTGGTACCCGGAGGAGCCTGGGCATCTACTGTCATCGCATGGATTTGGTCGGGAGGGGGGAAGCCAGCGGCAACGAGTGGCGTGTTCACAAAGGTCCTATCGGACATACCATCTGGATCGGCCCAAGCATTTTAAACTACCAAAGTGATTTCATTTTCAAACTGCTACGTTGAATGCATTTTGGTTTGTAATCTGTCATGAATTATGTATGCCATGTTTGCGGAAGCTTCCAAAGCATACATGCGAGAAACAAGAGCAACCATGAAGGGCCCACGGTCCTGGCGAACTATGACTCGTATCGTCTTCTACATATAAGCGAATCGGTTCAACCCTTCCCGCGTCAGAGGCTCGATATGTGGCGAACCCTTGTTCATGAGGCTCAATTTGTGGCCTCTAGACGCGACGACCGCCCGTCACCAGCATATTTACGTAGCATCTGAGGGTCATGCTACGTGACGTGCAATTCTGTCTACTTGATGAGAAGGTCTGCCAGGCTTAGATATATTCACCCACACTATATTTAGGATGAATGTCCTTACTCCTCTTCCGAAGACTCCATCAGTTCGGTGCAGCTTCGCCCCAAGGCTCGTTTGCGGCTGACCGAATTGCATGATTCTATTTCAACCCCCCCCCCCCCCCCCACACACACACACACACACATTAAACTCATACCAATGGCACCTCTCTCTCAACAAAAGGTTTCTGGTGGTTAAAGCCAAGAGCAGCAAGTGAGGCCATCTTCTACCATCCGTGGGTATAAATATGCAAACCGGAGCATCGTTCAATCCCTCAACCCATTGCTTGCCACCACCTGCCAACATTCCCCAGAGCAAAGAGTCAGGATTCGCCTATACCCTCGATTTCGTCTCTCATATCTTAGCACAACTCACTCCCTGATACCCAAGCTTCCACTATGTTCGGATACCCATACCTTGGGCTTGCCGCCAATCACAGCGACGCGGGTGAGACTCTGCTGAGCATTTCTTGTTTTCGCGACTCATACGTTTGAATGTTGGCGTGTTAGTCAGGGGATGTCGTAACCTGCGAGTGGGTGCGATCGCCGGCGGGGACCCAGGATTCTGGAGGGTAGTACAAGCTCATTGATCAAAGGGGAGAGCCATGGTTGCAATGTGCACGATGTAGAAGGGAATTTGCATGTGAACAGAGATAGGTGGAGGTCCATTGGATCCAAGAGAATGCAACACGTATCTATGAGCCCAATCCCAAGATAGTGTCTACTTATGAAAAAAATGCCCAAATTCAAAAGTGCGCCAATGCACACCCATTACTCCGGTTATCACTGTTTTACCCAAGCCAAGTTCCATCGTGCCCGCGTCATAGATCATCCTACAGCCTAAATCTCCAAACTTGGCGTCTGGCCCTTGACACGGCCAATAACCTGCTGTGGTGCGTACTTGGGGATGACCTCGTCGTCGTGCAGCATCTCGAACTCCTCGGTAGCGTCACGGCCCATGAAGTTCATGATAGCCTGGGGGCCACCAGGGTGCTCTTCGAGCCAGTTGGACAGGTCCATTACAACACCCTTGACAACGACCCACAGGTCCTCCTTGGTGTTGTGCTTGGCAACTTCCTCCATAGTGAACTCCTTCTCAGGAATCGTGAATTCCTTGGGGTTGTTGGGCTTGGACGCCTTCTGACCGTCCTTAACGGGTGTGGGGCCAGCGGCCGAGGTGGTCTGCTGAGCAGGGATATCCTGGCCGCCAGCGCCGCCGGCGTTGTTCCAGTCGATCGTAACACGGCCGGGCTGCGAGGGGTCAATGTGCAGAGAGATCTGACCGAGACGAGACGCAGCGCCTCCGGCGCCGCTGAGGGCTTGCTGGAAGAGGTAGTTGCTGGCAGTGTCACCAGCCACACGGCCATAAACGACGCATCCGAGAAGGGAAGAACCACCGAGACGGTTGGCACCGTGGACACCACCGGCAAGCTCACCGCAGGCAAACAGACCGTCAAAGGGCTTCTTCTCGCTGTTGAGGACCTGGGCCTTGTCGTTGATCTCAATACCACCCATGGTGAAGTGGAGAACAGGCTCCATCAGCGCGACATGGAAGTCGTCATTAATGTCGAGGGGAAGGTTGTGGAAGAACTTCTTGCCCCAGGGGTCCTTCTGCTTGCCTTCGGCGATGGCGTTGTAGGTGGTGAAGGTCTTTTGGAGGTGCTCGGGCTTGCAACCAATCTCCTTGGCCAGCTCGGCGCCGGTCATCTTCTTCATTAGGCCGCGGCCGGAGTAGTGGCGAGTGTGGAAGTCAAGGACCTTGGAAGCCTTGGAGTTGAGAACAAGTCTGATGGGGAACTTGTTCTTCTCCTTCTCCTTCCACATCATACCCGAGACGTAGTCACGGTGGCCAAGCTCGTCGCAGAAGCGGTCGCCGTCAGCGTTAAGCAGGAGACCGCCCTCACCACGGAGGGCCTCAGCAGCCAAGAACTTCCACTTGGAACCGGGGTCCTTGGGGTCGACCAAACCAGTTGGGTGGACCTGGACCTTGTCCATGTCGATACCGTTACCGCCGATGGCCATAACCATCTTCTGGCCGTCACCAGTGGCGTGGGTGCCGTTAGTGGTGGCGAGGCCGTAGGTATCAGGACGGTGCTTCTTGAGCAGAGAGGTCTCGCCGAAGTCGGCGGCGTAACCACCGGTGGCGAGGATGACGGGACCATCAAGCTTCTGCTCCTCTCCATTGAACTCGTATGTAACACCGGTGACGGTGTTGCCGTCCTTGTTCAGACCGGTGACGCGGGCCTTCTTGATGATCTCGACACGGCCGGGCTCAGTCTCGGCGAGCTCCTCAAGTCTCTGCATCAGAGCGTAGGTGATGGCCATACCGGGGAACTTGGCATCGTGTCCACGGTGGGTACGGGGCTGGGAGTGACCTCTAGAGTGGCTGTTAGAGGCGGATCGTGTGAAAGCAAGGAATTCAGTGATCAACTTACCCTAACCGCGAGACGAGGGTAAGGTCTAGGTTGAAAACATCCTGAAGCCACTCAACGGCGGCGGCGGACTTGTAGGTAAGGACCTTGATCAGGTCAGGACGAGCCTTGTCACGCGCAGACTTCAAAGTGTCATCGTAGAACTGCTTGACGCTATCGGCGATGCCGGTATCGACCTGCGTCCGGGTTAAGGCACCGTTGATGCCGGAAGTGGCCTTTGTGGAGTTGCCACCGAAGAAGCCTATGCGACAAGTTGTCAGCTTCGCGACAGGCAAGATGCATGAGGGGCGGAGAGAAACTTACCCTGCTTGTCAAGGACGACGACGTTGCCTCCAGCGAGGTAGATGGTATGGGCAGCACTCAAGCCGGACACTGGTGTCACGAATTAGCATGTGAAGGGCGAGACGAGGCGACATTGAGCCGCGAGGGGCGGGGGGGATTGAGAGGGCAACTTACGACCACCGCCGACGACGATAACTCTTGGTGCCATTTTGGTTAATGTGTGCTGATGCGCTCCAGAGAACAGGTATGGAGTACAAACGAAGAGGATGGATGGGGGGGAGAGAAGGTTGTGGGGAGGAGGAGAGTTTAGATGGAGAGGTTTTAAGAAGAAATCCGAGAAGAGAAGCGTCCCTTCGTCGTTGCTACGCCGAGGAAGACGGCACAAAGGACAGGCACGAGGTTGGTTCTGGTACTTCTTGGGGGGGGATTCGGTAGGTGCAGCAGTACAGAGCCCGTCGCGCTGACACGGCGACTCGTGAGCCGAGGTCGAAGCGCTGCGGAGGAAGCAGGGGGGGTTAGCATTGGAGACTCTCATGGAACGACACAACTGGACCGCCCACCATACTAGTCGGTTTTGGGCCGAATTTGGGGTGGAGGGGTCGGGGTAGGAGAGGGCCGGGGGAGACTAGGTAGGTAGTCTGGGGCCCTGGGGATGCATTTGGGGGATTCGGAGAGGAGAGTTGGCGTCGCCCAGTGCGGACGAACCAGTAAGAACGAGGCTTTTGGTCAAGCGGTGGCAGCAGAGTGGAGGGACACAAAGGGGCGGGAACAATGGGCACTTGACTACCTAGGTAGAGCCTGGAGTGCCCCTAGCGGGCTGCGTTGCTTGGGGGCGACTGTGGGGAAACTAATTCACCAAGAATGTTGTCTGCTGTTCCTATGTTTTTCTTTGTTTTCCCAGTTGCAATAGCAAAAGCAGTAGAGAGCAACAAAAAAGAATGATGACTATGAAGAGTCAACAGACCTTACCTTGTACCGAGACGACGCGACAGGTAATTGTGGCCGATTCGGGAGGGGATTCCTTTTCCAAGCTTACTATGTATCCGTAGATGCTCTAGTAATTGGGGCGACCAGCCCCCCCCCCCCCCCCCCCCCCCCCCCCACTGTCCTCTCGCAGTAATTCTGGCCGAGATGGACTTGGGTAGTGGACCGCGACATTACAAAACTGGGGGAAGTGTGGGGTGCGGCTAATCGGGTGGCTCCCCAGCTGCTGCTGCTGTTGGCATGGCTAGTCTGCTATGTAATTGCTTGCTGCTTGTCGAACAGGAGAGTCCGCATTGGGGGGGAGAGATGGTCTGTCCGTCGTGAAGCCGTTCGACCCAAGGCTAGATAGAGAAGGGATGGCAGGGCAGATGGCAATTTGCTAGCTCCAACTGTGGACTTTCACGAGGCAATTGGAAGTAGTGTACATGCCCAGCAAGGCAGCGTGCTGTCGCAGAAAAAAAAAGGCTTCCGAAGATTTTTGGGGGACAGTTTCAGGCCATTCCTTGGACCACACGCCGTTGTCTCTTTTTTGACATGTGAAGGTCACTTTGGTCACGGGTGCCTCTCTCTCGTGCTCGTGCTGACAGTTTCCCGTCCGAAGCTTGAGGTATCCCGCCCACCTCTCAACACCAGACGTTGATCCCTCTTGTCGCCCCTCCACACAGACGTGGACGAGATGCGAGCTAGTCTGTCGGTAGATGCCTCGTGTCGAACGTCGACGGGTAATGCCAGGTGATGGATGAATCTTCACGGGCATAAGCACCACCCATGGGACGCGTTCCAAAACCCTTCTTCAGCCCCTCTAGCCTGTGCACTTGCATTTGAGGCTGTGGCTGCTCGAGCAACCTGGCGAAGCGTCTTCTCTTCAAAAGTCTCGTCCACTCACACCACGCCTCGCCCACCTGTCTCGACTAACTCCGTCTCCCCACACGGATGCCGGCGAATGCCTACCAGCAGGTCATATGATGCCCGGCCCGGAACTTTAAGCACCTGACCGAGGATCTCTCACTGGATTGCCGTCTCTTTTCGTCGCTGCTGGGCCGACCACCGCGTCCCATTTTAGCCTTCCTCCGCAGCGCACTCATTAAGAATTCTATCCTCCGCGCAAGGTCATCTCCAATCGCGCAGGGGAACCTTCTGGCGTATGTTTAGAGGTTGGGCGGGCTCGTGTAAACCAGTATCGTATGCACTTGCATGTGATAGGGGATCTTGGGCGTCAAAAAGCGCGGGCTGTGCGGGCAATCTGGACAGGTCAGGTGCACTTCCGCTGACGGTAAAGCACTCGGTTTGCCACCCATCCAGTCGAATTCGTCTCAGTTCATCCTTTCATGATTCATGAGAACTGGTTGGTTCCTGAGGATGTTGATGTCTTTGTCGGTGCCCATGCCGGTGCTGTTGACAGCTATTCATGTTGGGGGTTTTCAAAATGCCCCGTTTCCAATACAGCAATAATTCCCGAGCGTTCCTCGTTCACCTGTGCCAGTCTGTCTGTAAACCCCAAAAACCGGTAACTTGACCACATATCCTTGTGGAGATTTTACCGTCTCCACAAATGTGTGTTCCTACAAGACAAAAGGCTCCGAAGAGCCCAGAAGGCCCAGAGACATTGCGGACGTCTACGGCGTACCCCTGCGACCTTCCGGAATGCGGTAAGCTAAGCTCAATCAATTCATAAAGCGTCGTCGCCTTCTTAAGGAACGCTCATTTATCCAACCCGAGGGGTATCGTGCATCGAGAGGCGGCGTGCAGCTCCAGTTTCGTCTTCTGTCTGACACTTTTGGTGTAGGCAGTACATAATACCACTGTCAGCAGAGGCGGCTACTAGGTAGGTATACAGAATACGCTTGCGCTGTTTATTGTTGAAGCAAGGATGATGTCATGTACGCGGATGACCAATCAAGGTCCAGACATCATTGAAAAAATCAGGTTCTGTGGGGGGTTTGTAGCCGCAGAACTGCATCATGCCCATGGCAGTCTGAGCTGGTGGTTTACAAGCCTGGCGCACTGCCTTCGTGAGATGCAGCCGGCAGGAACACTGATTTTGACGCACACGGAAACCTTTCGAGACAGAAGCTAACATGAAGCGGCCCGCCGCCCTTTTACTTCTTCTTGCCTGCTCCGTGGTAACGGCGCAACTGAGAACGCTCCCCGTAGAACGCTCCGGTCCCTACGCCCCGCATTTCTTCCGCCAGAAACCTCTCGTGGACACCGTCCACGTCGGTCCAGCCATGCCACCATCAGACCCATCCGACTCCCAGCCGCCGCTGGCTCAAGATGGCGTGAGGCTCTCCGACGTCATGGGTCGTGACCGGAGCATCAACATCTTCGCTGGCTTCACACGCGACGTCGAATCGGCCTCCCGCCGCCTCGATGACCAGGCGCGCAACACCACGGTGCTGGCGCCGCTTAACTCTGCTGTGGAGAAGTTGCCCCGAAAGCCGTGGGAAGACCCCAAGGACTACCAGAAACTTGGGGAGAATGTGTACGAGGGTGATGATGGTCGGCATAGAGCCCAGAAGAATATCCAGCGGTTTGTCGAGGCACACATGGTCGCTATGAGCCCCTGGCCCGAGAACGAGAAGGCCAAGACGATGGGTGACGATCGGGACATTTGGTGGGAGAGCAAGCATGGGACCAAGTTTGTGGGTTTCGTACCGAGGCTTTTTTTCTTCTTTATTTTTTATGCTTATAGGCGGAAACTGACGGAACACTTAGATCCAGCCTGGCGATATTGAGGTTGTCAATGTCGCAAGCACTGTCGCCAACGGTGAAGTCGTGAGTTGTTCAAGCACCATTAAGCCCTCATGAGCATGCCCTACCGAATTGTTGGCTAACTCGTGTACCTAGTGGATTATCAAGGAGGTCCGCAACTATGTTTAGATCTTCGGGTTAGCAACGAATACCTGCAGGGTTGGCTTGGGGACGAGTAGATGAAGGATAAGACAGACAGTGCACGAATACCCGGGCAGCACTAAATGAACAGTCTCCAAGTTTCTTCGCAACATCGTACCATGATCTCTAATACTTTTTCATAGGTCGCTAGCTGGTGTGGTTGTCTCAACCTAGAAAGAGCATGGCTTGGATTTTCATGGCAACCTGCCCTATCAGTTTGAAGCTTGCTATAGAACATAGAGCCGGCGCAGACCATTTCCACCTTCTATCAGTCATTCAGACACCGCGCAACGCAATATGATATAGCCTTGACGCAATCAGCCATAGAGCAAGGAAGATCCTTATAGGCATGGTTCAGGACACTTATAAAGCGATACAGACATCAGATCAAAAAAATACAATGTACATTTACGCCATCTCGGGAACTACCTACAGTACTGCAGTACAGTACTCGGTCAAAAGTCTCGTCACAGTAGTAAGGATAACCCAACGAAGAGTTGAAGAGAGGACCCATTAATAGCTTGACCTTATGCCTCAGCCATCTACTGTAGCTTTTAATTGACCAGACTTTTGACCGAGTACTTACTGTAAGTACCTCAGAATCAGATCCTGGCTGATAACGATCTTATCTTCACGTGACCCGGCTTCTTCCGCGCTCGGAGTCTCTCATGCGAACCAGCCAGGAAGGGGTTTGAGCAGCTGGCTACCAAGCTCGTAAACCATCACGAATTTTCCCTACAGGACGACCTTGTGTAGGCCTTCAACACCGCATCTTGAGATCAGTCGTTTTATCCTCATGTAGACTTTATATCTTCTGTAGCATCAGTCTGTAAGTCTTCGATCTTTCTCCCGTCCCTTTCTCTCTGCGAACCGGTGGCCGACGCAAAGCTTGCGCGATTGAAGATCCAGCCCCCCCATCAGGTTCTTCAGTGTGCAAGCTCCCACAACAGCCCCTCCGTACTCGTACCTCTCCTACGTGCCCGCCACTGACATCCAACTCGTAGAAGACGATCGATCTAAGGATGATGAGCGGTAAACCCGCTGACGAGGCCGACGCTTACGAGCGCGAGGCCGAGAATCGTCGCCGTCTCGCTCAGGAAGCCGACGAAATGGAGCGACGCGAACAAGAACAGGCCGATAGGCGTCGCCGCGAAGGCTATCCTCCTGGACCCCCCCATCACAGCAACGCCGGTTCGATCCCCATACACCAACCTGTTGCATCTCGCGCGATGGGCGCTATCCACAGCCCTGGCGGCCTTCTCGCGAACCATGGTTCAGGGTCCTCCGGTCCCCCAATGCCCCTTGGTGCTCCATCAGGGTCTGGCGCAAACTTTGGTGGCCCCCTTCAACCGGATAATAGCAGACCTCCGCAGCACGGCGGACCGAATAACCCGAGTGTCCAGCACCAGATGTTCGCGCCGATCCCGCATACGACCGTTCCACCTAGCAATTCTCTCGGCGCTGCTAGCGGTGGCCCCCCTGTGTTCGGAGGCCCGTTGCAACAGCGCGACGGCCAGCAACCGATGCAACAAGGGCTCTACGGTGGCGGTGGTGGGAGCAGTGGCAGTGGTACCGCTGGCGCTGCTGCTGGCCAGGGCCAGACGCAGCAACAAGCGCAAGGCGGCATTGCCCATGGCCAGCAACCAATTTTGAACGTAAGTTACAATCTTGTATCGCAAGTTTCGCATAACGAAATGACCGTTTGGCGACTCTCTTGCTTGTGGCTTGGCCATTCAAAGTGGAAATCAGTGTGGGCTGGTGCGCCGATACAGGATGCAGCGCCGCGCCGCGCCGCGTGAACACTCTATTTCCAATCCCTCCATGTCCATTTGCACCTCTCCTTCATCATCCCTCATTATATCCGCCCCCCCCAAAACAATGCGTAATTCGTCGACTTGCTCGTAGTCCACAAACCACACGCGACGGCAGCCATGACGGAGAAGGCGGACATGTTCACTGTAAAGCTTGGGACCAAGTTTGATCATTGTTAAATTTGAGAGCGGGGCTAATTGTGAATGTCAGGATGCCTTGACCTATCTGGACCAGGTTAAAGTACAGTTTCACGACCAACCCGATGTGTATAACCGCTTTCTTGATATTATGAAAGATTTCAAGAGCCAAGCGTAGGTGCTCTATCCGTCGCCTGGTAGGCACGGCTGACCATAACAGCATCGATACTCCCGGGGTTATTAACCGCGTCTCGGAGCTCTTTGCTGGCCATCCCAATCTGATCCAAGGCTTCAACACCTTCCTGCCACCTGGCTACCGAATCGAATGCGGCGCTGGCAATGATCCGAACACCATCAGAGTTACAACGCCAATGGGCACCACCGTTCAATCCATCGCGGGTAGAGGCACGCAAGTCGAGGCCCACGCGCATCCCGGTGGTGCTTCGCAGCCTCTCTTCCCCCAGCGCGGAAATAACTGGCAGCAACAACAGCAGCCGCCACCTCCTCAGCAGCCCCAGCATAGCATCGAAAGCCCCGAAGCCAACTTTAGCACGCCTGTGCAGAATGGCCCCGGGTCATTCGGACCCGCTGCTCAGAATCTAGCTGCGGCTTTCGAAGCTCAAGGGGCGGCCCAGCAACGTGGTCCCCCTCTGCAGGGTGTAGCTCATGCGAACAATGGGCAGCAGCCGCCTCGCAACGCGCATACGCCAACTCCGGTTACGGGACCCGCAAATGTCAACGGTACTGCCAACCAGCAGCAGCAAGCAAATATGGAACGCCGTGGTCCTGTTGAATTCAACCATGCAATTAGTTACGTGAACAAAATCAAGGTCAGTCTATCTAGACTCCTTTTTGTCATCTCCTTCCCAAGGCCGAGACCTCGCACACTAACCACGCCGCAGAACCGCTTTCAGGATAAGCCTGAGATTTATAAACAATTCCTTGAAATTCTCCAGACTTATCAGCGAGAACAAAAGCCCATACAGGACGTCTACGCCCAGGTTACAACTCTGTTCCACACAGCACCCGATTTACTTGAAGATTTTAAGCAGTTCTTGCCTGAATCCGCTGGACAAGGGAAGGGCACGCCTGGACGACCAAATGATGAGCTTCCTCCTGGCCCTGGCCCGAATCAGACCCCTCAGCCTAGCATGAGCGGTCAGAAGATGCCCCCTCTTGGCAGCTTTGCACCCCCCAGTGCCTCCAAAGAGAACAGCAAGAAGCGACCTCGGACGGACAAGCAAACACCCATTCCTGTCCCAGCTGTTGTCGAGACCGTCCCTCCCGTTAACAGAGCTGCTCCTGGTGCGCCGCCCCCTGCTGGCGCGAATAACAAGCGAACGAAGTTGGCGCATAACAAAGCACTTACCTCTGATGCTTCTGCGGTTGAGCCAACTTTAACACCGATTCTGCCGGAGCCTCTGGGGCCTCCAACTTCTTCTACGACAAACTCAGATGAGATCGCATTCTTCGAGAAGGTCAAGAAGTATCTCAGCAATAAGACCGCATTCAATGAATTTCTCAAAGTCTGCAATCTGTTCAGCCAGTCGATCATTGACCGGAACACGGTCTTCCACAAGGGCAGTGTTTTCTTCGCCGCCAATCCTGAACTTATGGGCTTCTGGAAGGCGTTCCTCAAATACGAACCTCACGAGGACGTTGTCGATAATCGACCTGCTCCGCCTAGCGGTAAAGTGTCCCTGAGCAACTGCCGAGGCTATGGCCCTAGCTACCGTTTGCTACCAAAGAGGGTACGTCTGACCTATTTCTACTGCCCTTCACCTCTAACTATCTCTCAGGAACGCCTCAAGCCTTGCAGCGGTCGTGATGAGTTGTGCAACTCTGTTCTGAACGACGACTGGGCCTCGCATCCGACTTGGGCCTCAGAAGACTCTGGCTTTGTCGCCCATCGTAAGAATGGATTTGAGGAAGGTTTGCACCGCATCGAAGAAGAACGCCACGATTACGACTTCAATATTGAGGCGAACCTTAAGTGCATCCAGCTCTTGGAACCTGTAGCCCAGCAAATCAGCGTTATGTCGCCACTGGAGAGGGAGCACTTCCAGATGCCCCAAGCCTTGGCTGGGCACAGCACGTCGGTCTTCAAGCGTGTCTGCAAGAAGATTTATGGCGACAAGGGCCCCGAAGTTGTCAACGACCTGTTCACGAATCCGTTGAACGTGGTTCCAATTGTTCTGACCCGTATGAAACAGAAGGACGAGGAATGGCGCTTCTCTCAGCGTGAATGGGAGAAGGTATGGCATGCTCAAGTCGAACATATGCATCTCAAGAGTCTCGATCACATGGGTATTCTTGTTAAGCAAAACGACAAGAGGACCCTCTCAGCTAAACATCTCGTCGATGTTATCAAGACGAAGGCAGAGGAACAGAGGCGCCAGCGCAGCTTGAAAGGCAAGGCTCCGCGCCATCAATTGGTCTGGGACTTCTCCGACAAGAAGGTTGTCGTTGAATTACTTCGTCTGATGATGCTCTACACTGTTAGCAGCGGTCAGCACAGCGTCCCGGAGAAAGAACGCATTTCCGACTTCTTCGAGACCTTCATCCCCGCATTCTTTGATATTCCTGAGGAGGAGATTGATGGACGCTTGCCTAGGCTTCAGGATGTGTCAGAAGAAGATGACGCCGAAGAGACCGTTCCAACCGAGCTTACCAACGGCCGTAGTCGTCGTACTGGCAGAAGAGGCGATCTGCTCCGTGGTGTACTTGACCCCGGTCGCAATGGTTCTAAGCCTCGTGCGCAGAAGGAGGGAAGCGCAGCATCCGGCAGCAAAGAGACAACTCCTGAAGTGGGCTCGGCCAACGAAGAGGAGATGCCTGATGCCCCAGAAGATGGTGCTGGGCCTGATGTGTCAAACGAACGCTGGATGCCAATCGTGCCACAACCTATTGTGACGACGGGGGACGATGCCCTTCTGACTGCTGATGGCGAGCTGAAGGCCGACGGGTTCTTCTCCCGACCTTGGTACAACTTCTTCTGCAACCAGACAATTTTCGTCTTCTTCAACGTGTTCCAGACGGTGTACACACGCCTGAGGGATGTCAAGGAGAGCAAAGAAAGTGTTATTGAAGAGATCAATCGTGTCAACCGACCACGTCCAGCGAAGGATATCGGCTTGGCCGACAACACCCTGAACTACTTTGGCCCAAATGACGATCCTTCAACGTTCTGGCCGAAGACGCTTGAGCTCGTTGAGGAATACATCACTGGTGATATCGACGAGGTTCGGTATCAAGATGTTCTTCGTCACTACTACTTGAAGAGCGGTTGGAAGCTATACACCATTCAGGACCTTCTCAAGACTCTATGCCGGCTCGCTCTCACCTGCAGTAGCACTGACGCAAAGGAGAAGACTCCTGATCTCATTCAACAATACCTTCACAGCCGTGAGAAGGACGAGACGAACTACCAAGCTGAGATTGCTGCTCGAAAGTATGCAGAGAAGTGTGTCAAGGACGGCGAGATGTTCGTCATATGCTGGGTAAGTCAAAGTAGAGATCAGTCCACTCAACATATCTGACATCTGATCGTGTAGTTTCCACAAAAATCCGAAGCCGCAGTCCGTTGGCTGCAGCGCGAAGATACAACGTTCTACATGGATGAGATGAAGGCCAAGGACCGTTGGCAATACTATATCTCATCATTTATCCAAGTGGAGCCAACAGAAGGTGTGCCTCGCCATAAGCTTCAGAAAACAGTTCTGGCACGCAACCTTCCCTCTAGCGACGAGAAGTTTGAGGATAGCCAGATTCCAAAGCCTATCTCTTTCGACGAAGATCTTTCCATCAGCATTTGCCTCAATTCTAGTAAGATGGTATGGAAGGCCGGCACGTCTGAATACTTCGTCTACGACAATGTTCCCAACGATAAGGAAAGCCGCGAACGACACCTCGAGAGACTCAAGAACGCAAGCAACAAGCGCGATACCAAGCTCCGTGAGAAGTTCGTCTTCAACAGTCCTTGGATGAAAGGCATGAACCAGGCCGATGTCCAGAAGTTAAATGAGGGCTGGTCGAAATGGCTGAAGGAGGGTACAGTCCCTTCTTCCGATGTCGGAGAGGCAATGGACACCGCAGAGTGAAACTGCGCTCGGCGGCGTACGTTGTTACTCAGGGACCATACCTAGCCCCAAGGCTCACGCAATGACGGCAGTGGGATTTGCGGGATGGACACGGGGGTGACGAAGACTGAGAATTCACATTACGAAGATACCAGGCGGCATAGCGGTGCAGAGCGGCATGGCTGCCATGTTACCCAATAACTTACGTGGGTTTGTCTCTTGATACCCTGACCACACTTGGTAAAACGTGGGACGGGATGGCATGGGATGGCGTGGAATGGGTTCGGCGTTGCTTCATTTCCTTTTTCGATTTGAACTTTGCTTTTGGTGTGACGCACAGAGAGGAAACAGACAAGGGGTCCTCATCTAGAAGTGTGCAGCGGCTTGCTTTCGCCCTTAATCATCTCGGGGTGCGTTCCTTCGATTTGTTTCATTCTCCGAGCTTAGTTTTCGCAAGTGTACAATAGCTGTGTATACGCACAGAAGAAAAGCATTGCAAGTCAAACAGCTCGGTCTCCGACGCGTTGTGACTGAATGGTTCCGAGTGGCGGCAGGCCCATGTGATTGATCACTAGCCACCTTGAGATCCACCACAGAAGGCCGATATCGCGGCATTGAAGCGCAGCCACATATGCTAGACACCAGTGAAGGTTGTGAAGACTAATCATTAACGCGAGGCATAGCCATAGCTCTCGGTTTAAAGGTTGCAACATGTGTGGGGTTCTATCAGGCCATCTAATCCAAAACTGATTTGCTCGAGAGAGATGGACAAAAAAAGGCGCAAAAAAAAAAAAAGGAACCCCGGCAGCCCCCAAGTGGGAACTGGAAAGAGTAAGATTGCTTCGTCTCGTTCGTGATATTAAAGCTGGTATACTAGCTTTTTGGTGGGGAGGTGAGTGAGCCCGACGCGCCGGGCAATGTTATAGCGAACTTTCATGCTCTTCCTTTACGTCAAATAACTACAGAAAAGGGCCCGAAAATAGTGCAATATCCCAGGCGGCACGACACTGGCTGTGCGCGCTTTACCAGGCCACGGCTCCCATGCGGCAGCCTGAGTCAATTACTTGAGCCGCACTGCATGAACTAAGACCTCCGAGATGGCGTAGATTTAGAGGGGTGGATTTTTAATTGCTCTCCTTGCTTTATTGCAGGCTCTCAATGACAATGGCGGACGCACCGCCGCCGCCGTTGCAAATCCCGGCAACACCAATCTTGGCCTTCTTCTCACGAAGGACGGTCGAGAGGGTGGTGACAATGCGAGCACCGGAGCAGCCCAGAGGGTGTCCGATGGCGACGGAGCCACCAAAGACGTTGACCGTCTCAGGGTTAAGGTTCAACAACTTGATGTTGGCAAGGGCAACGACGGAGAAAGCCTCGTTGATCTCGTAGAAGTCGACATCCTTCTCGGTGAGACCGGCGTGCTTGATGGCCTTGGGGATGGCCAAAGCAGGAGCAATGGTGAAGCGCTCCGGCTCACGTGCGGCGTCGGCCCAGCCGCGGATCTTGGCAATGGGGGTAACACCGAGCTCCTTGACCTTTGCCTCGGACATAAGAACGACAGCGGCAGCGCCGTCGTTGAGGGGAGCGGCGTTGGGAGCGGTGACAGTGCCACCGTTGGGGATAAAGGCCGGGCGCATGGCCTTGAGCTTGTCAACGTTGAGGTTCTTGACCTCGTCGTCACGGTCGACCTTGATGTTAGGCTTGCCACGGCCACCGGAGACCTCGATGGGAGCGATCTCCTGGGAGAAGACGCCGGCTTCAGTGGCGGCCTGTGCCTTCTTGTAGGTGTCGATGGCGTACTCATCCTGCTGCTCGCGGGTGATGTCGTGCTCCTTGGCACAAAGCTCGGCGGCCATGCCCATGTGCTCCTTCTTGCCGTAAGCATCAGTCAGGCCATCCTTGAGGACACCATCGACGAGGGTTTGGTCGCCGTACTTGGCGCCGTTACGAAGAACGGGGAGGTAGTGAGGGGTGTTCGTCATGGACTCAGTGCCACCAGCGACAACAATGTCAGCGTTACCAGTGATGATAGTCTGGGCGCCGAGAATAATAGCCTTCATGCCCGAGGCGCAGACCTTGTTGACGGTCGTGGCAGCAACGCCCTGTGAAAGGCCAGCTCCGAGAGCACATTGGCGCGCCGGGGCCTGTCCAAGACTAGTCTTCAAGTCAGAACCTGCGCGGAGTTATGTTTTTTTTTTTTTTTCCTGGGACTCTTTTCGACGTACTTGGCGGACAGAACATTGCCGTAGAAAACCTCTTCGACATCCTCGGGCTTGATCTGGGGAACTCGCTCGACGGCAGCTGTGGAGGAGTAAGCATTGGTTTGCCCCGTGTCTCGTCCTGGAACTTTGGTAAGACATTCGCGTACCCTTGATGGCATGTGCACCTAATTGAGTGGCACTGAGGCTAGACAGAGAGCTGGGAGAGGAGAAAAGATGTCAGCCTTCTTGTTTTAAGCGGTCAAGACAGCTTGTCTCGGTGGGTGGACTCATTCGTACCCCAAGAAAGAACCGACGGGGGTTCTGGCGGCAGAAACGATGTAGACGGGAGGAAGGTTGGCCATTTTGAGGGCGGCTACAGTGCGGTCTTGAGGATATGGTGAGAAGTATTGAGAAGGCGAGCTGGGAGCTGTTGTGTACTTAATGACAAGTTTTTGTTGGGTGTCGGTCACTTATCAGTAAGACGTGCTCATCCTACCTACCCCTCGCCTCATTTTAATGCTTGGTGGGGTTGTTTAGACCCTCCGTAGCAGCTGTCGGTCTGTCAAGCTTTGATCACTGTCAAGCCCCTCCGAGGTAGCGGCTTCTGTAGCGCCGGACCGGCGGCCAATCACCCAGCTTCAGCCACTCAGCCTCGCAGCCACTCACGTAGTCAAGCCACATGGCAGCCTCGCAAGAAACTTTGCCAGAGGCGTCATGCTCAACGCGCTTGCGTTTGCGCTTAAATCGAGAATCCTTACAGCCTTTTGGTAACCTGCGATAAAAGTTCCTTTTGACATCGCTAGACGCCAAAATGGACGATCTATACGACGAGTAAGTTGAAACTTCTTCAATATGACTAGATCATCGAACTCACAAATTGGTTAGGTTCGGTAACTTCATTGGTGAGGATGTTGGCTCTGAAGAGGCGTCTGAAAGGGGAGCGGAGGGCGACTATGTTTACGGCGACGATGCCAGCGAAGCGCCCGCGGCCACTGGCCAAGAATTGATGGAAATTGACGGCATGTACAACTCATACTGTTGCTTTAAAACCTTGGCTGACTTGGGAACAGACGATGGCCCGTCGAACGCGATCATCCTGCACGAAGACAAACAGTACTACCCGACAGCGCAACAAGTATACGGAGATGAAGTCGAGGTACTGGTACGAGAGGAAGATGAGCAGCTTCTGTCACAACCAATCATTGCGCCGGTAGAGCAGAAGAAGTTCAACATTGAGGAGACCGACCTGCCCCCAGTCTTCTTCGACCGCAGCTTCATGGCGGACCTAATGAACTTCCCCGACCAAATAAGGAACGTTGCGCTAGCAGGGCATCTTCACCACGGAAAGACCGCGTTTATGGACATGCTTGTGCTGGAGACTCACGACATCACCGATAGACTCGAGCGCCGGGTCGGCAAGAAGAGAGACGAACAGCTCAGATACACCGATGTTCACATTGTCGAGAGAGAAAGAGGAGTGTCGATCAAGGCGTCGCCAATGAGCTTGGTGTTACCAAGCTCCAAGGGAAAATCCCACTTGGTCAACATTCTGGATACCCCTGGCCATGTCAACTTTGTTGACGAGGTTGCGACTAGCTTGAGATTAGCCGACGGAGTCTGTTTGGTTGTTGACATCGTAGAAGGCGTGCAAGTCAACACCGAGCAGATTATCAAACACGCGGTCCTGGAGGATATTCCCCTAACACTCATTCTCAACAAGATGGATCGTCTCATCCTGGAGCTCAAGCTGCCGCCCAAGGATGCGTACTTCAAGCTCAAGCATGTGATCGAGGAGGTCAACACTGTCATCGAAAACACAGTTCCAGGAAAAGGCGAGACGAGGCGGATAAGCCCTGAGAAGGGAAACGTCCTCTTTGCTTGCACAGACATGGGGTGGTGCTTTACTCTGCAGTCCTTCGCCAAGATGTACACCGATACGTACGGCGGCATCAACGCAGAGGACTTTGCAAAGAGGCTGTGGGGGGACATCTACTTCAACCCTGAGAAGAGAAACTTTACTCGCAAGCCGCTGGAAACCCGCTCAAGTCGTTCGTTCGTCAACTTCGTACTGGAGCCCATCTACAAAATCTTTACGCACACCATTAGCGACAGCCCTGAAGATCTGAAGGTTGTTTTGGGTGGTCTCGGCATCACTTTGAAGCCGTCTCAGTACAAGGCCGATGCTAAGGTTCTGCTGAAGCTAGTGTGTGAACAGTTCTTCGGTCCGTCAACTGGCTTCGTCGACATGATAGTGCGCCACATCCCGTCACCCGACGAGTCAGCCGAGAGGTATTTGGAGAAGTACTACACAGGCCCTCTGGACACGAAGGTGTCTGAGTCCATGAAGTCCTGTAATCAGGATGGACCTTTAGTTATTCATGTCACAAAGCTCTTCAGCACAGCGGATGCCAAAAGCTTCTATTCTTTTGGTCGGGTTTTGAGCGGTACAGCTCGTCCCGGCATGCAAGTTCGAGTCCTGGGAGAAGGATACTCGACAGATGACGACGAAGACATGGCGATGGCAACAATTTCCGATGTGTTCATTGGCGAGTCGAGATATAATATCCCGACGGACGGGGTACCAGCGGGTAACTACGTGCTTCTTGGTGGAGTCGACAACTCCATCGTCAAGACAGCAACCCTCGTGCCGCCCAAGCTTGAGGACGACGAGGACCCTTTTATCTTCAAGCCTGTCACACATTTCACAGAATCCGTCCTCAAGGTGGCAGTCGAGCCTATAAATCCTTCAGAGCTTCCCAAGATGCTTGACGGTCTGCGGAAGATCCAAAAGAGTTACCCCTTGATCACCACCAAGGTTGAGGAATCAGGAGAGCATATCGTGCTGGGCACTGGCGAATTATACATGGACTGCGTCCTTCACGACCTGAGACGTCTCTACGCCGACATGGAAATCAAGGTGTCGGATCCTGTTACACGATTCTGCGAGACTGTCGTTGAACAATCGGCGACAAAATGCTACGCCATCACACCGAACAAGAAGAACAAGATCACGATGGTCGCCGAGCAGCTGGACAAGGGCATCTCAGAGGACATCGAGTCTGGCAAAGTCAAGATCAGGGACCCCATTCGCAAGACGGCCAATTACTTTGAAGAGAACTACGGCTGGGACAAGCTGGCAGCGAGGAGCATCTGGGCCTTTGGTCCTGACGAGATGGGTCCCAACATCCTGCAGGACGATACGTTGCCCTCGGAGGTGAGGCCTTGCTGCCCATTCTTGAACTCACAGGGACAAGCAATAAGCTAACGGGCACTACAGGTTGACAAGAAGCTTCTGACAACAGTGAAGGAGACCATTCGCCAAGGTTTTAGCTGGGCGACTAGAGAAGGTCCCCTGTGTGAAGAGCGTAAGTTCCTATTTCCCTTGCCCTTGTTAATATCCGCCTTCTGTCTTTGTGTTGGACGTGGAACCAGCCAGCAGACCCGCCATTGGCCCCCAATCAGACGGAATTGGCTTACGGGAGGGTCCTCCACATGGAACTGGGGTTGGGGTTGGGGTGTTTTTTTTGGGCATGGTTTGCATTAGCAACAGAACCATTGCCTCCTTCATCCCCTACCCCGACCTATCAGACCAAAGCCTGCTTCTGCACACGAAACCTCATTCCATAACCATGTCTCCAGGAGAGGCTGTGGTTGACTAGGGATGGGGGGCATGGCCCTTAACAGACCCCACATCAGGCCATTCCCCAGCCTTTGCCGGTGCACCAGTAGTCAGCAGCCAACCGCTAACGATTTTTTGCGTGGAACAGCTATTCGAAATACAAAGTTCAGGATCACCGACGTCTCATTGGCTTCGGAGGCCATCTTCCGTGGAGGCGGTCAGATCATCCCCACCTCTAGGCGGGCCTGCTATTCTTCATTCCTGATGGCCTCTCCTCGACTGATGGAGCCGCTATATTCCGTCTCGGTGACAGGGCCTGAAGACTCTGCTACGGAGGTCTACACGACGCTGGCCAGACGCCGTGGCCACGTCCTCCAGGATGGTCCGGTGGCGGGCACACCTCTCTACCGCGTCAACGGTTTGATTCCGGTTATCGACTCGTTCGGTTTTGAGACGGACCTGCGCATCAAGACCAAGGGCATGGCCATGGTCAGTTTGACATTTGACAGCTGGAGCATTGTGCCGGGTGACCCTCTTGACAAGGAGGTCATTATCCGGCCGCTGCAGCCGGCCAGTGCCCAGGCCACGGCCAGAGACTTTGTGCTCAAGACCAGGAGGAGAAAGGGCCTCAGCGAGGATGTGAGCGTGGCGACTTTTTTGGAGCCCGAGTTCTACCAGAGCCTTATGGAGAGTGGTGCGCTTGGCGACTAGTGGCTGCCGTATATGGCGGAAGTATGCGGATGTATGTGCGCAGGAGTGTCAGAAGCCGGCGGCTGCGTTGCTGAGTCGTTTGGACAGCACGGCGCGGCGCTTGTGTGCGGGTAATGGGCTATATGCACTCCGTCGATCAGAGCTTGCCTCGCAGGTGATGGAGTAGAGAGGATATGGCATTTATAAGATGAGCAGATGAACTTGCCATGAGACGACCAGTACTCAGGGCTGTTGTGTATATCAAGAGACTACAGAAACTGCGCGACTGACGCGTTCTGTCAAAATGTGTCCCCGGTACGGGATCTTGTAGAATTTCCCCACTAGTTGCCGACTGTGTATCAGCTTGATGGGGGAGAGCGCGGTGACGAAAAAGGTGGTGTGTGTTTTTCATATGGTTTGGAGATGGCTCACGGGATGTATCTATCTCGCACGCAGGTGACTGGCAATACTTGAACCTGACCACCCTATGAACGTACTCGAATTGGGAACCGGTGTCGAAAGAGTGCATCACAACGTGTGGCTTTGCTTTCTCATCTTGATTCTTCCTCCATGCCCGGCTGATTCGGCTCAAGGGCAAACGACAGGGATAGATGAAGATGCCCATGATCGTTTCTGGCCGAATGTGCGAGCTGACGAGTGAGGCTGTCGCCGGAACGGGTCCTTTCATGCGGCTTTCGATTGACGAATCGAGGGCCGGCAACAGACATTCGGGCGAATATACACCAGATCGGGGCGAACAAGCGCACAAGAAAAACCCGACGATTGTGGTCCAACTTAATCACGACGGCTCCGCAGCATCGTTTCACGCAAAAGGCAAAAGAAAATTTGCCCAGAGGCGGATTCGAACCGCCGTCAACACGGATCGCTGTATAGAAGAACCACAACGTATCATCCTAACCAACTAGACGATCTGGGCGAATTTGCGACGGACCCGAAGAAACTGATCCTTGCTTGACAGTTCCGGCCCCGGCAGAAACCCATGTACCGAGAGCTTGCAAGGAACTGAAATAAAGTCCCACTCATGCGATGGAGGTTGGTTCCATATGTTTGCCAGCAAGAACGCAAGAACTCAATAGCGTAACGGTTTCGCCCCTCTCGAGATGTTTCTATGGAATTGTACTAGGGTCTTAACAGGCAGTTTGGAGGATTTGTGCGCCTCTTCGAACTCGGGAGGTCCGTCGTCAGCCTCAGATTTGGTTTTGCATGTTGCTATCGCCAGGTGGAAGCGCTCATCGGATTGGAGGATAATCAGGCCAAGTGTACATGCATAGTGACGAGTTCGGAATCTGACCACACTCAACTACGGCTTGAATATCATGGTACGTGTACTTTCCTACATTGGGCGCGTCTCCTGCATTGAGCATGTTCACTTCCGAAATGCCGAATCTCTGTACGATAGTATGTATGTTTGCTTCACATATAGTCCCAGCGATATAAGAACTGCACGCAAACTCCGTGTCTACTAAGGACTCGCAGGTCAGTTGTATGGGAATGGGATGAGAGGACATTCGGTCGGATACTGGAGCCATGGCAAGACATCCACATCCACCAGTCGGCACAATACCATGGTTATCTTAGAACAACAAATGTACACTTCTCCTACCATTGATAACACATCAGATGCTTGGCTTATTTGACAGGACGAGATAAATGAGGAATAATCAGGCATGACGCATTGCCGTTGTGACACCTGACCTGAAGTCGTATCAAGTGACAAATGCTTATATCAAATACTCGTTACCCACATCGACGAACCATGTGGTATGATGACCTATGAATAGCATGCCTGGCCCGAGAAACATCGGCGTCCAGAAATACCTGGAAGACTGCCTGCCCTCTTAATCCTCGCTCAAAGATCCACCCTCGAGGTGGCATACCAAGTCAACAAGTTTGATCAAGTGTTGATTGCTGCTTATTCCAAAAGCAGACAAACCCGGAGATGGCGAAGAAACGCAAGATGCAGCGCGGAACAGATACTGCCCTCTTGGTAAAGTAGCAAGTCGCACGACCGGTGCCACCGTCAAGATGCCTGGTACATACATAATATGACAAGCGTGCCAGTACGGAGATTCTTGACGGACCTCGGGTAGAGCCATATGCCTCGGCAGATCCGGCCGTCGTGAAACAAGTCCTAACTCGTGTGAATACAAGTGAGCATCCCCCAACAACCCCGGAAATGAAACGAAAACTCCTCTGTGACAAGTACAACTCCGCCTCAAGCCATCGGCGCTCCTGCATCCCCACCACTCCTTTAGTTCTCGACTGCGTCTCCGCGGTAACAGGGTCGATGGCGACAATGGCATCGTCGAACTGCATGGGGGGAAGTAGCGCTAAGGTACAACTTCTGCTCACATGGTCCTGTCTACTTAGCCTGCATGCTGGGGAACGGCATGTGTAACCAGAGATAATATCTCAACAATATCCCAACCCACATCGAGATTCCAAGTTTCGTGCCGCAGCCCCTATTGCCATCATCGACGGGCCGGAACAATCGTTGTAGGATGGTCGCCTTGGACTTGGGCATTGATACTTGAACCCTTGCAATCCGACTTTCTCAGCAAGCAACGTCCTATCTCTCGCTTCTCTTGTCTTCCGTCTGTCTTTCCCCAAACTCCGCCGCTGTGACCGGCCGCACGGAGGGCCGATCGGCTGGGGATCATCCAACGGCGTAGACGTATGTCCCCTCCACTGAGATCCTATTGCAACCCCTCGGAAACCCGAAGAGAGCCAGACAACTACCTGGCCGTCCGTCGGCTGACCTGTTCGCTATCGTCATGCATCGATCCGTCTCTGTCTGACCTTTGAATGCGGGCTATTCCTTCTTCTTGCCATTACTCTTCAAAACAGAGACATAACCTTGAGGCTGCGGCTACAGCTACGATTGCCCCTGCCCAGTAGCGTGTTACCTCGCCCCCAGTCTCCTCCGGTGCGCACGATAACCCATCGCTTCGAGTTGACCCATCCACCCCAGCAAACTCAACCCAAGCACTAAACAATTGCGGAAGCACTCATACACACCGACTTTACAACACTCCAACCCCTCGAAATGGACACCACAGCCTTTAATCACGCCATATATACCACCCCAAACCGGCAGGGTCCTCTCAAGGGCTGTATGCCGTGTAGGAGTGATCCCAAGGGGATGGAAAGACAGGCAAAACGGCCACACCAGCGTTTTAGACCCGGAAGGGGTCGGATGGAAGAAGAGTTGACACCGCTCACCGCCCAAAAAGATCAGCACGCTTGATAGCCGAAGGAACGGTTGTGGCCGGTGGAGATCAGCACTCCAGCAAACTAGGCCGCTTTCCATCGTCAACCTCTCCCTTGTCCCTCCTGATTCCCTCTTTTACCCCGAACCCTGGCTCGGGCGAGACGCTCTTTGTTCACTGCCGCCATATTTCGTCGCCCCTGTGTACTGGGGAAACGTGTAGTGAGACCCATAACGCCCACCCCAGCAAGCCCAAAGTTCCTCAACCTGTCCACAGGCCCATAAACCTCGTTCGTGGGCACGGCTGTAGCGATACGCAAGTGAAGACATCACGAGATGTAGGTTGTGATCCGGATTTCGAACTCCATTAAACTTTAAGTTGTGCGAGGGAGAACAAACAAAGGCAGAAAAGAGAAACGCACGGATGGCGGGAGTCTATCTTACATATTTCCTACTAATGGGCTAGGGGAGGCCTAGGCCGTTTCTTTGATGCCGTGCGTCAGGAAGCCCAAAAGTCAATGGAGAGGCGTGGCTTTCGCAGGCGCCACCCCCTTGCAACGTCAAAGCCATGGGGGCCAAACTTTGTCACCGTTGCAACCATGGGCACCCTCTTTCCTGGCGCGGTTTTATATTTGTATTCAATGCCAAGCTGGTGGTGCCATCGGTGTAGCAGCATCAGCGTTCGTACATGGCCGGAGATAATGAAGGAGTTCAGGCGAGGCAGAGGGTACAGGGGCGACCGCGACGATGGCAGTAGAAAGCTAGATGGATGGAGCGAGCACATCGTTCTGGGATGGCTTCGCTGCCGGAGTTTTTTCTTCTTCGCAATCTCTGTCTCCGTTTCCTTCGGACAAGTTTCGTCGCCAAGCGACCCAGGGGAGAGGAGAGGAGAACCCACCCCCTAAGTAGGGCAAATGCATGGAACATTCCTTGGAGGAAACAGTGTTCCCTAGCTTGAGATGCCGGGTACGAGGACAAGTTCGTGCTTATGTGCCGTCGCGCACCGGTAGTGGCTAGGAAGGAAAAAGGAACAGGACGAAAGAAAGAGGAGAGCATCCGTGCTTTGACACCGCGCGCCGATGTGCCCACCCTCCCCCCTTATCTCCATTGGGAAGTTGACGGTTCAAACTGTCGCCGCCACGACAGCCATTGTCGCCGAAGTCATGGAACCGCCCTCGGACTGAGGTGCGGGTATCAACTCCGTAGGCAGTTTAGTATTTAGCTGTATCTAACCACTTTTACCAAGAGGCACTCCCGTACTCCCTCTCCCCCACCCCACCCCCTTGGGGGGAAAAAAAAGAACTGACAGCTCAGCCCAAATACATACTCACGCACATCACTAAGTGCCCTCTCTGGAGATTGTAATAGCTCAAGAAATATAGCAAGCAGTCAAGATAATAAAAAGGAAGATAAGTAGGAGTGCAGGTTAGCTTTACGGTAGAGTCAGATAGGGCTATTAGGGCTAGCATTAGACCGAGGAACATATCTCAGAGGCTCTGAGTGGTAAACTAGTTGAGGCAAGTGGCTTCCCGAGGCGACCTCAGTAAACGAGGAAATCGGGAAGAGTGGACAGAAGACAAAACGAACCTGGGTGTGCTATTCGGACATGGTTAGGGATTGTCGAGGGATCGGCGGGCGTTCCGTCCGTCCGAGGTGACCGACCGCCTTGACCGACACCGACATACCTAGTCTGGTAGTTTACATCTTTGAATCCGGGTTCGCCAGATGTCTTTGTCGGCAACGCATGAGATCGGGCATCAGTGGCGGCAGCCGGAGCCAGAGGAGACTGAGATACGTAGCCAAGGCGTTCGGTCGCCGATGAGGTGGCACAGGTACGGATACACAGTCACACAAAACACAGTAGAACGCGACAGGAGGTGACGACAAGGAAGTATAGCCAGCACCTATAGTGCGCCGCTCCTCCTTCGCAATTCCCAGTCGTCCAGGACGGAAAAAGACTGCTAAGTAAGCCATGCCTCGCACGGATAGATGGGCCCTCGGCTGAATTGACTCTGATTGGTGTGTAAACACGACCATAGTCCACCACCTTTTATAATTTGTCCGTGATTCCACATCGCTACCTTGCATACACAAGGTAAGGCACCGTAACACCAACTGTCGGGGCGGTATCTACGGGTATGCCACCTACATACCCATGGGACCTGCCGGTGTGGCCGCGTCGTGACAGCCTTCGGCACATCCCCCCCTTCCCCTCGTCGCCCGGATGTACATGCACCCCACGAACCAACTCACCCCGTTCCTCAACAGATTCATTCGGTAACTTCCCTGTTGGGCGTATGAGCCATCCCCATTGGGTTGTGCTGCGCTGAACTTCCTTCTGGAAAAGGGTGCTGCGCTGCGGCATTCGTGGCCTGACCTGCATCACTGTTGTCTTGACATCCTTCATTGTACTGGATTCTAATACTTGTGCGCGCGCGCAGCACGTGTCAAACCCCCAACCGGGGGGAGGGGTGTGCAAACAAGGGCTGCATGTAGCCTATGCGGCGAGTGGCTCTTGTGCGACCTTCCGCCTCGGACAGGATATACCTCCAGTCGGCGTGATGTCGGTATGGTCGGCGGTGATGAGGATGGCGATGAGGAAGACGATGCAGTGGTTCCGTCAAGCCACTTACACGCGACTGCATGGCTTCCATTGTTTGTCTTCCCTTCTTGTCACCCGTGGACGACCTTCCATGTAGTGCATGCCGTGCTTCGCAGCTAGCCTTCTCGCCCAACAGATGCATTCGGTTGCGGAATTCCCGATGCAATGACGCATCGACATCG